ACATATCCATTGAGACTTAATGAGTTACAATTGGGGAGCGAACAATTTCTCTTGGCTAGCTTGTGGATTAATAATCTCAACTTCAAGAAAATAATAACTCGGTGACGAAGTCCATATCAGAAAATAACTAAAACTATTGCTCTTACCAATTACAAGCATCGAGTCATATCATTCTTTTCCATCACCTGGGTACTAAGCCATATAAATCTAAGGCACACCAATCCCCTTCAATTTGCACGAATTAAAACCCATCACAATACTCCAAAGGCCTAAAGTACAGATCTTTACAGAATCTACAGGGATCAACATTGCATTTCAAAGAAAGTGGACAAGAAAAGAATCAAAGAACATAATTTGAAAATACCTGCCCGTCTGCTTGAGCATGTCAAGCATATTAGTCTGGAAAACGTGATCTACTGCCTCAACACTGACCCCAGTCCCGCTCTGTGGCATAGCGAAAACGTCCACCACACGAACCGTGTACTCGTCCACAAACTCCCCCAGCATCAGACCCATAACTTCCATGGGTACCCCTGCTCTACCTGTAAATAATCGTGGAAATACAGGTAAATAAGAACCCTAAGTCCAATAATCAAGTAGGAGCAGTGAAATTGACAGTATAAAATTTGGCTCCGTAACTTAAAAAAAAAAACAAGAAAAGAAAAGGAAAATTGGGCGAAAAAAGGCAGATTTACCGTGTTTCAGCATCTTGAGAAGAGCAAGTGATGAGATGTACACTTGTTCGGATGAATCAAGGGTTGGTGAGTCCGGCGGAGGATGGCCGAGGGCACCGCCGGCTCCGGCGAACATCCGGTGCAATCTTTCCATTCCGGACATTTCGTATAATTTTTTGATTTTTTTGTTTTTTCTTGCAGATTTCTCTTTGTAGCTTTTCTTATTCGGACCAGTTTTCTTTGGAAACACGACAGTAGGGTTTGGTTTCGATGGCAAGGGTAAAGAGCGGGTAGATAATGATAATATATTATTTGCAAGGATGTCCTTGTAATTTTTGGCTAATTTGTAGTGGCGTCCATCTGTTAAGAGGGTAAATTCGATCCTGCCCCTATGGGCACGGGAGTCAGCCCCTAGGGGCCCTTGATTTACACATAAACACACACACACCCACATAGGTGTGTGTGAAATCAAGGGTTGTAGGGACATGACTGCACTGCCCCCACCTGTAGGATCAAATTTTTCCTGTTAAGAATTGCCCGCCCAGCTTTGCGGGCCTATAAAATGCAGGCCCAACTTGTCCTCGCCTCAGGCCACGGGTTTGGCGGTCTAAGCCCGTGATTTATATGTTTTTTTTTTTTTTTTGGCTAACAAAACAGTGGCTAGCCATGTGATGCACGAAATGATAAGTTATAATTGAATACTTAGAGCATATTTGATTGGCCGGATTAGACAGGATTACCCCATTAATCATGGGCTTATCCTATGTTTGGTACCTCAGATTAAAGCCCGCATGATAATGGTCGGCCCGGGATAAATTCACCATAATCTTGGATTCTCAAGACTAAACTATCATGGGGGAGGGGTATGATAAATTTTATCAAGGCTGATTATAAGATGAGATTACATAAATGCCCAAAAGTCAAGTTTTTAATTTTCCGAGAAATGAGCTGTCCACCTGTCGCAGCTGTCCCAACCTCACCATAGATCATCCCACCTCCGCCACGCAACGACCATTGTAAACAAAATGAATCACAGGCAAACTTTGCATCTCTGTTGCAAGAGATCAAATTTGTTTATGAACCAAAGTTTAAGAAAAGAAACCTCAAATTAATATTTGGAGCAAATTTTTAGAAAATAAAACCCTCTAATTTAAGAACACCGGTCGTAGATGGCACGACACCTGTCGTCGACCGTCGACCAAGGCTGCCACCGTCTCCATCCGCCAGCCAACTCCAGGAATTTGTTCTTCGTATGTAAGAACGAAATATTACTTATTTTTTCTTTTGCACAATAGCCCAACCGCAAAATTTGGTACGATCTCGCATATCCACTTTTATTTATTTTTTTTTCCTGTTCACCGTCTTCCTTACCTTTCTCTTCTGCACCTCAACTTTTTTTTTTCTTTCCAATCTTTTCCTTTATCCTTATTTTTTTTTCTTTATTTCTTCTTTACTGTTTCTTTCTGTTTCTTTTTTTACCAGATTTTTGGAACATGAGATATCTTCTCTTATTTCCTTAGTTTCTCCATTATTTATATTTTTCCCAATCCTTTTTCTTTGAGCTCTGACCCTTTTATTTTAGTTTCATCTTCTATTTGTTGCTAGTGGCGGCAGCCCGTCGGATCACCGGCAGATCGTGGTTATTATTTGTACATTTTAGACATTTCACTAATTTTAGTATTTATTCAAATAGAACTCTATCAAGCAGGCAAACAAGAGATGGAAAATATCCGAACAGTGCAATCTTACTAAATGAGATAAATATAGTCCAATGCTATCTCCTCAACCAAATGTGCTCTTAACATATTAAATATTTAATAGTAGACTTGTTATATATATGTGTGTAAAAAAATATAAACAGATTGCAAAAGCTGAAAAAATATAAATTATTGAACACTTTATTATAATAATATTTTTTGTGATTTGTTGGCGAACGATCATACCCATAAACTAATATTTTTAAACAATTTCGATTGGTGACACGGAAGACAAACAAATCCACCCACATTATTATAATGATGCTTGCATGTTTTTCCTAAATAAATGTGGCCGCTAAAAAAAAAAAAAAAAAAACATCTCACCCCAAATGAAGGCTTGCTAATGTAAATTGTGTGTGGATTAACTAGATCCAGACATTAGAAACTCACTTTTAGGCCCAACATAATTTTGGGCCAAATTATTGGGAAGTATTGAATAAAGGACACTGACTGTCCCTTGTAAAATTTTTTTTACCCTATTGACATGGCATATGCAGTATTCCATACTTACTCCTTTTTTTGAATTTTAAGCAGTTTCTAAAACCATTTTCCCCCTTCTTTTACTTTTTCTTTTCTCTCTCACACTTTTTATCGGCACTCCTTTATTTCTTCTTTCCTCTGTTTTCTTCCTCCATTCATCTTAAAAAATGCAGACCACATATCCCTAATTACTCCTCTTTTGCTTGAATTTTTTTACCATAAGCACACACCTGAAACACTAAGCCCCCGAAATTGCGACTTTCTTCTTTCACTCAGCCGTCAAAACAATCAGTACTGAAAAGATGACCACGTTGAGCGACAGGCTGCGGTCGTGATGGCGACAACTGTCACACACGGCTCGTGAGCGGCGAATGACTTGCCGACAGAGATTGGCGCAAATGGATGCTGAGATGGGCTGCCTCAATCTAAGGTCCGTGATGGGCCCTTTTTCTGGTTTAGGGTTTATGGTACTTTTTTAGAGCGACTACGAACAACAAACCAATCTCATAGATGGTATTGTTTTTTATTATTGTTATGGTGATTCCTTGTAAAGTTAATTATTGTTACGATGATTATTGGTAGGTTGATTTTTTGTTGTTTTGACATTCAATATATATATATATATATATAATATTATGTTCATATTATTTTATTGTTAATGGAAGGTTATTAGGTAGCTTTACAGTTGTTACATTGTTATTTTGTTGTTACTTATTTGTTGTATTTTTTAATTTATATTATTAATTTTTAAGTTCAAATAACAAATATTTTGTGATATTTTTTAGCTAATTTAATTGTTTTTTTAATATATAAATGATCTAATTGATCCATCTCTATCAATAGTCATGTATATAAATTATCCGATATTTTAATTTCTATATAAATAAAATGTATAATTGGTTAAATAAATAAACTTTAGAACTTACACTTTAATGGAGAACGTGATTAATGGAGTGACATAAAATGAGAATCTAATATTTACTAAATAATATAAAAAGGACAATGGAGAGAATATAAGGATGGGAAACGGTTAGACGGTTACCATATGGATCATTTGGACGAGATGGAGTATTTTTGGAATTCTATCGCACGTGTATCGTTTATGTAATGTTGTTTTTGAAAGAGTTCAGTTGTGTCTTTTCGCCAATTACTCAGGGAACAATGAACCAACAACTTTTTTACACGCTTACTATCAGATAAAAAGCTTTAGCAAATTTAGATTTTCATGCC